TGGGTCTCTTGAAATGATGAATAAATAAATTCAAATCAACAATTCAAACATTTTATACCATGGTATTTAAGATAACAATTCCATATTTTATTATAGTTAATTTGAATAATGTATTTAGTAAGATTTAGAAATTCTTAGCGATTGTCGTGCCATACATTATTTTTTATTAAAGATTTATATAGGTTCTATAGTTAATGTAAATAACAATATTGAGCCAATTTTTTGTAATGGCTCACCAGAACTATTAATTGTTTCTGGAATTATAATTTTATCCTTTGAAAGATGTTTATTAAGGGATCTTTGTGCTATGGGATTTTTTTAAATATTTTGCAACCCTCATGGCTATAGATAATAACTTAAGCAACGACCTAAAAAATCTCACGATTCGTCCCAAAAAGCTTATTAATGTCGTGTTCGTGGGGCACGTAGATGCTGGCAAATCTACAATCTGCGGTAGAATTTTGGTAGATTTGAAGTTAATTGATGAGAGGATACTTGAAAAGTATAAGAATGAATCCATACAGAGCAACAGGGCTTCATGGTATCTAAGCTGGTGTATGGATCTCAATCCAGAAGAACGAGAGAAAGGTAAAACTACAGAAGTTGGTACGGCTACGTTTGATTTACCTCACACTAGAGTTAATATTCTGGATGCACCAGGCCATTTGCTATATGTTCATGAGATGATAGAAGGGGCTTCTAGGGCAGATGTTGGAATATTGATTGTTTCGGCTCGAAAAAATGAATTTGAAAGTGGATTTAAGGGTGGACAGACAAAAGAGCATGTTAGGCTGCTGAAGGCTGGAAATGTGGAGGAACTTATTATATTAGTGAATAAGATGGATGAGTGCGATTACGATGAAGACAGATTTAGAGAAATTGAAGCAAAAATTCTCAAATTTACAAAGGTTTTGTTTAAAGATGTAAAAATCATTCCGATATGTGGGTTTACTGGGGAAAATATTCTGTATCAGAAAAATAAAGAGTTATATAGCAAGTACTATGATGGGCCAAGCTTTCTAGACTATTTAGATTCGTTAGATGCAGTACAACCAGACTTGAAGCCTGCTCTTACCATTGTAGAAAAGATAAAAACAACTGGAAGTACTTCATTTTATGTGAGATCAGAGAATTCCTACGAATCAGAGGCTGCGGGTCACAATCACTTCAAAAAAGGGGGAGAATATATGATTTTGCCCATTAATAAAAAAGATAAAATTCTGTCAATTACTGATGAAGATGATGTAGAAGTTGAGCAGACAAAATCAGGTGAAACGTATAAAATAAAGTTGAGTAAACTAAATGACGAGGCTATTCCTGGATGCAAACTTGTTGGCTTGGATAATATGGATTATAAAAGTACTATAGAATTCTATGCAGAGTTGGGAATATACGAAGTTAACAAAGCAGTTACGATAGGATATTCCGCAGTGATGCATATAAACTTGCAATCTGTGCAGTGTAAAATTACAGAGCTGTATAATTTACACCGAAAACCCATAAAAGTGGCTAGAAAAGGTGAAAAGATAATAGCTAAATTTGTGCTGGAATCACCTATAATAATTGTATGTAAAAAATCTCGAAAAGACAGATTCTCTCTGAGAGATGAGTCACTGACTATTGCATGTGGACAGATCAAAAAGGTAATAAAGTAAATTGAGGAGTATCTAAATGAATAAATTTTAATCAAAGAATATTGGATAATTGTTACTTGATGGGGAATATATTACTAAATTATATTATACCGTATTGATTCATAATTTAAACGATAGTTGGTTGTAAAATGCTGTAAGGAAGAAACAAATTACTGTGAGAGTTTAGTATACCAATACTGTTTATCATTCCACACCTGATAAATAGGTTAAAATTATCTTCAAAGAAACAACCAAACCATTAGAGGCATTTCCAATACAAACACAATAGTGTGTGAACTGTAAAACTGGTTTAAAAGGTGATAATACTTCTAAAAATAAAATTACAAAATTCATTTGGATTTTATCCTATTGCGTAGTTAACTAGGTGCAAGTCTCATACAAGCAAATAAGATGCAACAATAACTCTTACGTTAGATGATTTATTTTTATGGCCTTATCTTTCTTACAAATCTATCCTTTCTGTGTAAGGTGCTTCTAACCTTGACTATTCTTAGATGACAAGCACAACTAATGCAATGATTGTCTATATTAAAAAATGTTGGTACTTCTGGTGTCTTATAGATGGTTGCCACATTTAAATCATCCATTGAAGCACCTTCAATGATGGGCTGATTACTTGATCTGGAAATTGCCTTGTCCTTGGGAACCACTCTTCCACACTGCACACACTGAACTACATTGACAGATCCTCTATTCTTCTTTTGGCGTCCGTGATTTTGTCTTTTAACTGGCATGATTTATGGGGAGCCAAAAAAAGAAAAAATTTTCAAAATACAAATGAAGAGTTATTTAAAACTTTTCAAGCCAGAAAATAGAATTTGGTTATAGGAAACCACAATTAATTAAATATAGTTGTTAAATTGAGTTGAAGAAAGTAATGCTGATAAACAGGTTCATTATCTAACTTTAAGTCATTAGCCATCTATCCGCTTCAGTTACAATGTTTTTCCATAAAAAAGCAATTTATTCATTATTGCTGTATTTGTAGTGTTATTTATTTGATTAACAATAAGAAATAACTACCAAAGCTGATATAGCTGTTTGCTTTGATCACATCGAAATATGAATAACCTATAAAAGATTAGTAGTAGTAAGAAGAAGAAATTGCTCAATAAGTTAGTATTTAATCACAGAATAGAGGCTACAACAATATATCTAATGGCATTTACAATCTACAGTTTTAGTGACCATATCAAACCAATTAGGAAGTTTGAATTTTCATACACAACCTAATTGTAAATTTTAATAATGACAACTGTTAAACTAATCATTTATTATTTAAATTAAATGTAGCAATCGTAGATACAAAGCATATTAGAGCCATCAAACATATTAAAAGCATTTCTACTGGATCAGACTTTGAAAAAATATATCTGTATGGAATAACCAATATCATCTTAATTATTGCTATTATTAAATGTATAAATATTATATGGATATGTGAATATATCAATTCCCTATTCGTAACCATCTCATTACTGAATAACTTGCTTTTCCTAAAATATGACATATGATTCTGAAAGTATTGTATCAAACTCAGATCAATTAAAAACATTATCGAACTTGTCATAAAATGAAATATCAACAACTTGATCAAGTTAAATTTACAAAGGAAATTGCCTCCAAAATGAATGTAGAATATTCCAAGGTTTGTAATAATCTCCAGGCAAAATGTAGGAACTCTGCCTGTTAAATATGCCACAGTCAAATCAAAGGATGAAAAATAATTTGATTGAAGATCTCTTAGGATCATCTTATTAGTAGAGAAATAGTTATAGCATGGAAAAGTTATAATATAACGGAATATAAAATATGTTGGAAAAAAATACAATGCATCAGATTTGTCAATTTTGTAGCTACAAATATTTTGCAGCATATCATCCACTTTGATTGAAATTACAAGCGAGATCAATTCAAATGCAAAAAAAAAAGTGTGGTAATACCAAGGCTGAAATATTTCTGATTTTAGTATAACAGTAGAAAGAACTTTTAGAATATTTTGTGTTTTCACAGGAATATTCTGTAAATTAGTTGTATAGTTTGGCAGATTATAAATTTTGGGATTATTAGTCCAATGGTTTGCCATTGATTCAGTAATAGGATTGATTCCTGTACTCTTGATTTCAATCTCATTCTGGAGTCTATGGGGTGATTGTGGTATGATGGGGTCTTCTATAACCATTCGAATAGATTCATATGTATCAAATTCTGGAAATGGAATGTCAATATAGAATTTTGAGAAATATTCGATAGACTCTGAAAATGATCCATGAAAAAAATTGTGTTTTCTATTGGCGATGTAAATTCTATCAAATTTCTCATTGTTGAAGAATAGTCCAAAGTTGATTGAAGCAATTACTGTCTTGTTTAAATTGGCAAACTGCTTCAACTTCGTAACAATAATTTCTAACTCTGTAAAAGTCAAAAGGTTATTTGTAGAATCATAATATGTTTCAGATCCGGATACTACTCCATCCAAAAGAGATTTTACTTGCTTTTCTTCGACTTGAGGTGTGTTTTTGCCTTTCTTATTAATACAGCAATCTTCATTGGGCTCTTCATATATTATTATAGGCTTTTCTTTTACAATTTCGAATCCTAATAAAATTTGTTCAAAATAGGGTAGATTTCTTGATAGTGTATTTTTGTATCTTTCCAGCTCCTTACAAAAAACTAAAGGTTCAACATTCATATTCTCTCTTGCCATAGAGTATTTTACATTTTCTAGTACGGTTAAATTTTCGAAAAAAAAAGGTCTTTTGCCAATGTAACCAATTAGACATTGAAAGTCAGATGGATCGATTGCTTTATCATTAATAAAGATATTTCCTATAGCCTCACCTTCATTGATGTTGGTTAATTCCGGCGATTTTGGAAGTACGGACACAGTGAATGAATCATCTTTTTCTGTATTACCTTCAGAATCTGGCAAATATACAGTCGATTCAATGGAATTGAATTTCAATTTATTGGTCAGTACATCAACGAGCACATCAATTGATCTTACAGGTGAACTAGTGGAAAACATCCCTAATAATTCCCCAGGATTGGCCTGCCCCGACATTCTCTCAATAGAGTTGTTGTTAGAATCTCTAGCAGATATATGCTTCCAAGTAATCGAATATGAATCCATCGGGGGTATATTTGAAAAGTTTTAAGGGGAAAAAGGGAAAATTTTGATCACAAAATAGAAGTATTCCTTTGCTCCATGGTTTGAACATACTGGAGTTTGGGAAATAAAACACTAAATGATCTATTAGCAATTGTAAGCTGAATTAATTAAATGGCTTTACTGATCATTTTTAAGAGATATAGAAAGTTAACTGGAATCGACAAAAGATAAATAAATTTCAGTGTTTAAAATTAAAATCTTATATCTAATACAATGATGGTATCGTTCTTAGTAAGCAATCTATTAAAAATTGAATTAATAGGAAGAACAATACTAGTTTTTATGTTTCGCATTATATTTATTGTCAAGAAAATATAAAGCCATACTAAAAAATAATTTACTTTTCATCAAGTCTCCATACATCTTCTTTATCGATCAATTGTAGAAGATTAAAAATGTTGGGCAGGTTTTCTAAAATCTCCCTTTTCTTTTTCTTTTTATTAACTATTTCGGATCTCTTATCCTCTGATCCTTGAACTGATAATCTTTCATATCCCATTTTAGATACATTCTTATAGTCAAAAATGTCAGACTCTCTATATTTTACCGAAGTTTCATTAATTATCTCTAATATCTCATCTTTTATAAGATTCAAATTGGTTTCATTTTTCTTTGGAGTCTTACATATTACATTGCCTTCATATTCCACAGATTCCTGGTCGCTCATAAATTTTACATAAACATCATATTTCTTCATAATTTTCTGAATGTTTTTTCCTGAAGTCCCTATAATTTTTTTGTGATACTTCTTATCAACAGAAAATACTATTTCGCTTGGAAATTCACTGTTTAACATCTTACATGCCTGAACAATATTGGATAGATTGTCTGCTGTAATAGTAAATATAGTTCTAGAGTTTAATTCGGTTTGGAATTTACAGAACAAATTACCACAACCATTTCTGGAGAAAGTACTGCTTGCTGTCGTAGTCTCAGAGGATATATTCCTACATCTGAAATCATAGTGGTTACTAGTATCATGGCTATATCCGCTGTGGGTATTCAATGGTCTGATTATTGGATTACCAACCATCTTTCTGTTTTCGAAATAAGGCTCATTATAAATTTTGTTGGTCGGTTTATCATTCCTATGGCTGCTACTCCATTCAGTTGATGGATGAACTGGGGGGTTACCAGATGGTTTCTTACTACACAGGCAATTACATTCTGGTCCAGAGGTTATTTCAATTTCACAATTAGTTAGTTTGGATATTTTATTGGTTTTACCAAATCGTTTGCCACACAGAAATTGAGCTGTTTCGTGATCTACATTTAACTCTACACTGTAGTTTGTCATGCTCATCGATTCTGTCTGTGAAAGGGCTTCTTCAATGGATTCTATTCTCCCAATAATTGATATTCTATCGTCTTCTCTGATCAATAACACAGAGGACGAACATGGTTTATTTAGAGGTAATCGTTGAGAGCTCAGCCGATTTGTTGATTTTGAAACGTTTGTTGTTTCTACCTTTCCAATGGTATTGTACAGTTGAGAAATCTCTTTGATGCAATTCCGTTGATCAACGATGTTTTTAGAAATTATTTCGACAATAGTTCTGTACAAATATAATTTACTGTCGAATTTGATCAAAATATTTTCAAGATCTGTTCTGTAAAACATCAATATGCATAAGAATTTAACGAAATCTATGTTGAAATGAATATTAGTGGAGATAATATCACAATCAAAGATACTTATACGATCATCTGTTAGTTTTAAAATATGATCGGTAAATTGTGATAGATCATCAGACATTATTGGGGAATCACTGCTGTTAAGAATAGAATTACGGTCTGACAGAATGGATTTATGAACACTATTATTGCAATTATCCTCACCTATTTCAGGCTTTAACGAGGGTTCATTCCGATCAAAAAAAACATCGGTCCTACCCTTAAAATATTTCATATGTTGGGAGAGTTCATTGATTATTTCTTCTCTACTCCTTCTAACTTCAGAAATATTTCCGTTTATACAAATTTCTCTCCCGTTATAGAACATTATTGTGTTAGTATGGTCTTCGACTCGCTCGATAATTTTTTCAATATCAACCCGGCTAATAGGTAATAGAGTATCCATAGAATTAGCATCTTCATTCTTTATGATTCTTCTAATCGGGGGTATTAATAATTTTATTGATTGTCTATAAATATTTGACAGAATCAATATACACTCAAACATTTTGTCTACTTCGGTATAAATACATACTTCTACACCATTTGGGGAGTTTGATAATTCCACATTTTCCACAAAATTTCTGAGAAGATCGATTTTCATCTTTGAATGTGCATTTCTATTGGGGAATAGATTTTTGGGATAGAGAAGACAAATCTTGCAATATTTTTTCCCTATCAAATTCAATGTTCTCTTCTGAGCAAATACCTTGCTATTGGCATTGCTTTCAGTCTTACTTCCACAAAGAAATTGTGGAAAGGTTTCAAGGTTGGATAGATCTGAATTTTTGAAAACCTTTGCATTCAAATCAGTTTGTTGGGAGATATACAGCAGTTCTTCCTCAAGCAGATTTTCATGAAGCTTACCTTTCATTACACCCAAACAAGATGCTGACAGAGATTTAAGCATTTCTAATGGCAGTTTTGAGAATATGTTGTTGTTCTTCTCTATATATTGAAATTGAAGCATTCTAAATTGATCTAGAGTACAATTATAGAATCCATGATGTAAAGACTTACTCGTAAATTTGATTGGATTTTCATATTCTATTTCGTTCGAGAATTTCCTAATATTGTCTGTATTGTCTATTTTGCCAATATGCCCATCATATTCTCGGCCTATACCATTTCGATTAATAAAATCACTCCTATCTCGGAGTTCATTTACTTTTTCGTTTTTATTGACTTTATTTTTCAAGGGTTTCATTAAAAAAACTAAGTTATTTCTTCTAATTTATTTTATAAAACTGTGTTTTGATTTAGTATCGGGATACTCTGAAACAGATACTTAGATAAGAACCAGTTAGTTAAAACCACTATATTATAATACTCATTTTCAACAAAAAAGTAAACCTAAAGTTAAAAAACTAATGTTTATTCTTTTAAACTATTTTTGTATTCCTCAGGAGTTCCCTTAAATCTAACCAAAGATCCATTCTCACAAATAAAAACCTCTTCAAAACATGCTTCTAAAAATGCCATATCGTGGCTAACACATATCACTGCTCCTCTATACTCATTAATTGCATCACTTAAAGCATTAATGGTGCTTATGTCCAGGTGATTTGTTGGCTCATCCAATATAAGCAAATTGCTAGCTCCCATTTTGGCAAATGCCAATCGACTTTTCTGTCCTCCACTCAAACATGAAATCATTTGATTGGTCATTAGCCCGAAGTTACTCATTCTTCTTCTGGATTCCTCCTCTGAATACGATCTCATCA